GGCAGTAAATTCCATGCTTTCATACCTCTATACATAACAGTTCTTATTAAGGCATTTAACTTTACTTTAGGCAAACTAAAGTTTCCTTCAGTTGCATGTCTAGTCATGTATTTGTGATTCTCCGAACTAAAAGTAAGGTTTGTAAATAAAATATACAGTGTTTTTAATATTAATGTACATATTGACTTTCTGATCAATGTCAGAACGTCCACTTAAAATGCGTAAACATTTATAGATATACAAGACTTCATAATTCTTAGTTTTATCATTTTGTTTTTTTACTCTCCAAAGTTCAGTTTCTGCTGCAAAAATTTAATTTAGAAAATATATTATTACAGCTAGGAGTGTGATTTTCATGAGGAGGAATCTTACGTTAGTGATCTACAAATGGAACAACAGGGAGGAGGGCTTTTAATAAAGGTCAAAACTGCCACTTTATATAAACTCACGCATTAACTCGAGCAACAGTTTTCTTCTTTGCCAAGAACATTTTGAAGGATGATGATTCTGTTTTATCCTTCAGTTGGATGTCAAAACAGAGTACATGTTTGTTGCACAGCAAAGAACAAAAATGATTAAAGCATGGAGGTGGGAGTGTCATGGTGTGGTGGGACACTTTGACGCAGCTTAATATTGTTCTACAATCTACTATTAATTATATGACAAGCTTAAATCAGAGAGGGAATGAGACCATAGATGCTACAATGAAACATAATGGTAAAGAAAATGTGTTGAGAATGGAAAATAAGAAACTCTTTCCAGACCAGTGTTCTGTTAGATCAGCATACCTCGTCAGACCAGCATACCTATCAATACCAGTCAATATGCATTCACAAGACGTCAGATTTGCGTTTATCCCTTTAGTTTTCTACAAAAAATATACTTTTAAGTACCTCGGTGGGCATGTATCCCTTTAGTCATGTACAAAAAAAAACAAAAATTCAAGGTCAGATCACAATATGTGTCAAAAAACACCAGAAAGTAAGTACTTACATCGTTTTTTTGTACATGACTAAAGGGATATATGCCCATTATGGTAGATTAAAGTGTATTTTTCGTACAAAACTAAAGGGATAAACGTTATTGACTATAGGTATGCTGGTCTGACAGGATATGCTCATCTGACCAAAAGGGGTAGAAGACGCAAGAAACCCCTGAAACGTCATTTCAGACAACAGACATTATAAGCAATGTTATTGTCAACTTTTTTCTTTCTGTTCCCTGGAACATTTTAGCTTGCATTATTCCTTATCATCCTCACCTCCTTTTCAATGCTTCGCCCTCTCTTTTCATGCTGGCTCTACTTTTTTTTTTTTTTTTTTTTCTCTCCTAGCTCTAGATGCAATACCACAGATCAATAATAAAAAGAAGAGAACTCACCTGCCAGCAGCAGCAGCAGCAGCAGACCCACTCTGAGGAGCTGAGCCATGCTTGAAACCAACTTCATCTCCCTCACTAGCTACAGATCAGAAACATGGGCCTCATTCTCAACTAAAGCCGTCTATTCTGGACGGACAGAGCTGCGTGGAGGGGCAGATCTCATGGAGTAAGCCAGTCCCCAGTCCACTCCCCACAGTCTGACCAGAGTGTGTCATCTGAGCCCCCTGAGTCCCACACAGGGGACAAAACAAAGTCAGGATCCAAAATTAGAGCCTGGGCATTGTGAGGGCAGGAGGTCATCATGGAAAAGATCAGGATCGCTGACACAATGTAAAAACCAGCATTGTGTCTAAAGGTGCCACTGTGCACATTTTATTATCTTTTAAAATTTTTATTTTTATTATCAGGAACTATAAATCCAATGAGACACATTTTATTCCTCTCCTTTTAATGTCAGAAAGAACATTTCGAAGACATGTTAGTACCCTGACAAGAAGAAATTCTGAAAAAATAGAGAAAAAAAACATTAAAATAAAATGAATCGGACAAAATAAAGCATACCATAACTACCGTTATAATAAATAAAAATCAAATACATAAAGGTCATCAAACAGCAACAAATAATAGTGTTTGTAAAACTAAGAAGTTCTCTCTCCAAAACTATTTGCACAGCAAAAACTAAGAAATAAAAAGCATCTGAAATGCATCAATTTACTCAAATGACCACTATTAATATGATATGAATACTGTTAAATAACCACACAAAATGAACAAAAACTTTAAAATCGACCAATTTTCGACTGTGTCCGCTAGAGGGCAGCATAGGATATAATATAAACCTGTGTGTCTCATCGATTCCACAGTTCATTCCTAACCCTTGGACTGTGAATTCCTTTAGTTTAGTTAATGTGTCTGTTTTTATTTGTATTTACAGATTTTCAAGTCATATATACGACAAATAATACATTTAGTTTTTTTTTTTACTAAATCTTTTTGAAATTACAGTTTTATATATTTTTTTAGTACATTGTATATGAATTTATGTGTTTATTAGGGATATATTAACCGGGTTGGTATTTTTTATTTTATTTTTTTTATTATTTAATATGGCTATGATGTATTTAGTAGATCTGATTATAGCAGCTAGGGAAACGTGGATCCCATCGGGGAACCAAAACAAAACCAGCTCCATGCAGGTTAAGTGACGGTCGCAGTAAGGTCTATTAACCAATCAGAAGGCGCGAAGACGCAGACGCGCTTCATTAGGATGAGCGTGTATGACGTGATTGGCTGAGAGATGTGTTGATCAGGCAAAAAAAATAAATAAATAAATAAAAGGCGTGAGCAGAGCGCCCCACCACGTCCAACCCATCCTAATGTGCGCCCCTCCGCCCCCCTCCTCCTCCCCTCCCCTCCCCTCTCCAATCCAGGCACCGGCGCAATGGCAGTGCGGGGAGTAAATGGCTCAGAGTGTCCGCGGCGGAAAGCGACCTAAACAGCGGACTGGGAGCCAACAAACAAAAACAACAACAAAGCAGGAAGGCGTCCAAAAAAAACAAAAAAAAAACTTTTGTCCCCCAACACTTTCAATATCCCTCTTTCTTCATTTGGGCTGTTTGTTTCTTCAGTGATAGTGCGTGAAAACATTGAGGACATCTTAATTGGACATGTGAGTTTATACGGGAGTTATTAAGACAAGAAGGCTGTTTTTTCTTTTTTTTTTTTTTCTTTCTTCTTTTTGGATCAAAGATGAAGTTCCAGGCGTGCGTCTTAGTCACTTTGTTGGTGATCCGCTGGAGTGAGGCGCAGTCAGGTGAGTCCCTGGATGCATGCATGGATTGGTGTCTGGATGCGCGGCTCCTTACAGCGCATCAAACTGAAGTTCTCAGCAGAATCATCGAGATCCTCTCACACCTGCAGTGAAGCGTTTTTACGCTGCGTAAAACTATCTCCCTCTGCTCCACTAAAAAAAAAAAGGAAATATCCACTCATATTATCTTGTGTTTCTTTACAGTATGGATTCATTTGTATCCATTTTTGATCTATTTATGACATCGCAGTGAGCGGAGATTTGTAAAGATTTAATCCCAGAGCCTCAGTGGGGATAATTCAGACAGAGCAACAAGAAGTCACACGGCTTTCATCATCAGGACCCCCTGCTGTTGGGGTCCCTGGGCTGAGATGCGCTTTAATGTTCCTGAACTGGCGCTTAAAAGTGAATTCATCCCGAAGTTACTGGTGTTTGTATTCCACGCTGTACATTCCTTGATGTTTGATCTCTCACTGTTGTTTTTTAGTGGTGCATTCATCTTTTTTTTAAAAGTGCTGTTTTTGTCGAAAAATTGAAACAGATGTCTTTGATTGTAAAATTCAGACCATGCTTACTTTCTATCATTGAATCATTCATAGGTGGCAATAAAACCAAGATCTAAGGCATGCCCTTTAAAATATTTCCTCCACTACAGATCACTCAGCTGACATAAAAAGTTGATGAAACTTTATCAAAATAAATAACTGAACTATGCATACTTTCTATTGCAGGTAGTGATTGGGTTACTTTGTCCTGATATATGCACCATTTGTATGCATGTTTGACTTTAAATTAACTGATATAACTACAAGTTTATTTTTCAACTCATATTAGGAAGAAAAGCTGCATAAGTTACCATAGGAACGGTGCATCCTTTCTATCTCATGTCAATCTGAGTAAGAACAAAGAGCTTTAAAGAAGTAAGAGCATCCATAAGTAGTTTTTTTCCTTTTTGCCATGGTCCAGATAGAATGAATTACCACAGGACAAGTGCATCCCAGTTAAGGCTTCTCACAAGTTCAATGCTGTCTACTTTCTACATTAGCTTAACCAAAAAAGATTACAAGGAAGTTATATAGATAAAAAAGTTTTGAACCATGCCTTTATTTGAAGTATCGTTTAGCTTTTAATTGTATGAAGTGGCGCCGTCTATAGAGAAAAAAGGACCATGCATAGTTTCTAGGCCTTTTTAGCATCCAGATAGGATCAGTTTGTGTTTTAAAAAAATGAGAATAAGTACACTTTTCTTTTGCCTTTTTACAACTGGAACTTTCCTAGGAAATTTCCTACATAGGTCCACATGTGACATAGCTTTGATCATTGTCTGATTTTTCATTGGTTTTTCACCAAAAGCAATCTACTAAAATAAAAGATTTTGACTGCTAAAGTGGAGTAAACGCAACTTGAACGATGGGTACTTTCTGTAGCGCAGTTATTTTTTTTTGCGCTAATTTATGCATTATATTGATAGATAAAATTTGAAATAGTAGCTGTAAAAGTTACAAACAAAAACGCTGCATCCTTTCTAACTTGTGTCAATCTGGATGAGACGTTTTTTTCATGAAGAAACACCATAAATAGCTTAAAAGAAACACAGAACATGTAACCGTTTTTTTGGCAGATGGAATAAATTACAACGGTGAATAGTGAAACAGCAAAAGTACATCACAGTTAAGGCTTCTCAAAAGTTGAATATTGTTTACTTTCTACATCAGCCTAGCATGTAAAGCTAGGGTAATATAGATAGCCAAAGTTTTGATGCGTGCCTTAAATTGAATTAATGTTTAGTATTAAACTTCAGGAAGTGCACTTCACATATATACTGAAAAAAACTGAGCAATTAACTCTTTCTAGCTCTGGTCCAGATAGGATCAGTTTGTTATTTAAAATAAGAATAAGCACATCTCTTTTTGGTAACTCACAACCCGAAAATTCTCACTTTTCTACTTGGATCTACATTTATTGAAAAAAATCTTAGTTTTTTTATAGACTTTGACTGCTGAAGTGGGGAAGACACAATTTGATCCATGCATACTTTCTACCACTGGTCCAAATTGATAATCAGTTCTCTAATGGGAAAATAAAACAGTAAAAGCATCATCTTAGTCTTACTTTAGACTGATGTTTACAAAAGTATTTGAATGTTCAGTAACAAATTGACTGGGTGATACTTTCTTGCTCTATTTTTCTGAGATCTAAGTGGATATGAGGTTTCTTCAATACATTTTAAAACAACTGCTTTATGAGTGTCCTACCTCTTGTCACAATCTCATGAAGGCCTGACAATTGGAAAAACTGTAAAATTATAGAAAAATCTCCATCAACACTTTTTAGCAGACTTCCAAATAATGTCAGTTTATAATTGTTTGGTATAAAGCACCACAGTTTTCATACCTATCTCACTAAATGACTGTTGGAAATACTAAAGACCAGTAAAAATGGTCAAAAAGTCACGCGCTGAAACTTGCTTACCTTCTTGACTGCATCGTATGACATAACAGTACATTATGGTTCTTTGATCTTTGAACTGGCTTAACCACTATCACTGACAGCAGAACTGGAGGAAAGTGCTAAAAGAAAGCTCTAAAGAATGCACTTTTTTTTTTAAAATGACGCATACATTCAATTCCAGCTTTGGTTCCATCCAGACACAAACATATACCCTCTCACACTCTGGGTGCTTACTCTGGTGTGGATCTTGTATTGTCACGAGCTGAATGGAGCCTATTAAAAAGGAGTGGATGGATGCATGGATAGATGGGAGCAGGGCAGGCATGAATGTTTGTGTGGGGGGTAGAGAAAAAAATGGCACCCTTTTCACTTTTATTTATTCCTCATGCGAACGCTCTCATCCAAGATATTTGTGATGCAAATTTAACCCAAGAATCTGAGCTATGCCTCGTGGGAAGTTCATTGAATGTCTACGTATGTGTGTGTGTGGGGGGGTGTTTGTTGGTGTTTGCTTCTCTCTTTCATTTACTCTCCATCTCATCATCATCATCGAATCCTACCCAGCATCATATTCTTTGTGTTTACCCACATGACAGTCCAACTGAAGCCCGTGTTTGAGCTGTTTCTTTCTTCCTGTGATTGAAACTGTCTGTACTCTCCTGCAGCGAGACAAATGTCTGTAGAATTCCTGCCAGTCAGCTCCAACAGACTGTGTGTATATTAAACAGGGTGTGATGTGGCATTTTGGCACACGTTGCCAAATGTGCCATGCAAGGTGATTGATTTCTAGTTTCTCGTCGGATCCTGACCAGCTGCTGGGTAAGGATAATCTTAATTTTATCCTAAAATGAAGATAGAACACCAAAGGTCTCTTTTTTATCAAGTATTGGTCGAGTTTTCTCTGCCAAACTTTCTAAACTGAAACATTCCAGGCTAAATC